CAGGAGGAAGTGCCGAAGGGGGTGTTTGTGGGAGGGGTTGGCAGCAAGAGTAATGTAATGCGCCGTGGTGTGGCGGGGCGGGGCGGGGCGCTGGGTTAGCAGGTGGAAACCGATGATTAGTGCGGTCTGCGCCGCGGACCTCCTCCCCTCTCCCCCCCTCCCCCCGGGGGGGGGTGCCCCCCCCCCCCCCCCGCCCACCGCTATCACTGCGACCTTGATTATCCTCTTTTCGTTTACTGCTGTAAAATAAACCTGGAAAAGGGGGCCGCCCGCCCGCGGCGGCGGCGTTTGTGGCTGGCTTGCGTCTACAAAGGTAGAGGGTAGCGGCCGGGGCTTGATAACGAAGGGTTTGCGGGAAGGCCCAGAGGTTTGGGCGAAGAGCAAAGCCGAGGTCGGGTTTGGGTAGGATCGCCGAGTGTGGCCCCCCAGGCCGAGGCCGAGGTCGAGGCCGGGCCGAACGGTGCGCGCGGCAGAGCTTCGCCCTGCTGCTGCTGCTGGTGGAGGTGGTGGTGGAGGAGGAGGAGGAGCTGGCCGAGACCGAGCTCCGGGGCCGGGGCGCGTACGGTCGGAGCGTAGCGAGGCGTGGCGGCGCAGGGCGGCGCAGGGCGGCGCAGGGCGGGGCGGGGCGGGGCAGGGCTCGGGACGGGCACGGTGCCGCATTGCAGCAGGGCGGTGGGAGTGGGAGGAGCGCGGTGTGGCGCGGGCCTTGCCGAGTGCCAGCCCTGTGCCCTACCACCACCAAGTTGACCGGCGTGCGGGGGAGGGGGAGTGGGGGGCTCCGCGGCGCCTCGCATCGGGTGCCCGTTTGACAAGGATGTAACTCTCTCCCCTTCTTCCCCCTCCCCCTTTCCAAACCTCTTTACCTTTCGGCACACGCACCCCCCAATCCCCTGCGGTCCTCCCGACAGCCTCCATGACGTGCCCCAGCAGCTCACGTCAGCTCAGCCTTTTACCTTATCGGCCCTGTCGACTCGACACACACTATCCTCTGATGGGATGGGAGGGGGGGGGGGCAGCTCGCACCTGACATCGGCTAGGGTAGCGCCATGCTGTATTTCTCATCGTAATTTTACAATAATTTTAAAGAATGTTAAGTCTGTGCCTGCACGTGATTCAGCCTGCGAACCGTTGGGTAGGCAGACCCGCACAACTCCAGTGTACAGCGGAGTTGCCTATCCTGGCCCCGTAAGGCGTTCTTCTTGCTCGGCCCCCTCTGGGGGCGCGTGTGCGGAGGAGTTTGCAGAGGAGATGAGGTACCTCAGCTCCCGGAGGCCCCTCCCCGAGCATCCCCGCAGTTCCTAACTCGGGAGCCAACCCCACGAGTGGAGTCGAACGGAGGTCACGGCTGTGCTTGCACAGAGGGCATCGATTGTCCCCAGGCAGGCGCGGCAGACCGTGCCTCCCTACCCGACCCCGGCCCGGCGTACCTTCCTCCTTAACCGCATGTCCGCCCCCTGCTGCTGCTACTGCTACCCCGAGGTAAACCCTCTTAGTAAATGACCCTGACAATTATTGAGTATAATATTACCGCTCGCGTTCAATAGTGTAGTTCGTCCTTAGACTACGGTCACTATGACCATTAGTCGTAATGCTCGTCTCTTTCCCGCTCTCCATCCCTCCCTCCTTACCTCCCTCATTCCCTCCCTGCCTGCCTCCCTGCCTGCCTCCCTCTCTCCCTCCCCGTTTCCACCTATTTTTCCTACTCCACGTTTCCTAACCACAAAATCTCCTAAACTCATTCGTCCTAAATTTTGCATTCCTAATTATTTTTTCCTATTTACCAATTTTCCGATTCTAATTTTCCCAACCTAAATACGCGGGGTGGCCGATGCGGCTGAGCCGTGTACCCAGTACCACATATTGTGGGTATTATAGAAGTATTTAAGAATATTTTAGGTACTATGGAAGCTACAAGTCCTAGTGATACACTCCGAGTGTTCACAATTGCTTAAGATTGCTGGTTGGAAAGATCTGTAAACGAACTGTAGTTAGAACTTCGGCTATGGTATTGAGTGCAGATCTTTTGATCGGGGTAAGATAGGTTGACTATACTTAATTCCTTACATCAGTTGACCTCAGTTTTAAATCTGTTTCTTAGTGTTAAAACGATTTAGTTGACGGAAACTTAGGTATTGTGTAAAAGCAGGGGGCCGAGTAGGAAAAACATTTAGGAAAAGTTCCTACCCAAAATTTAGTAAAAGCGGTATAGGAATATAGTGCATTAGGAAGTGCGAAGATATGAAAAATGCTATTAGGAAAACTGGATTAGGAATTTTGTACGGGAATCCTCCCTCCCTCTCTCCCTCCCTCTCTCCCTCCCTCCCTCCTTCACTCTCTCCCTCTCTCCCTCTCTCTCCCGCATGTGCGGACATTAAGGCGCCACACACACGGCGACCGGAAGAACATTTATTGATTCCGGCGAGGAACCTCCCGCAATTACTGCAACGCGCGCTTCTTGCGAATGCCCCTCCCCCCTCCCCTCCAATCCCCAACCACTCTCGATGACCTTTCCGTTTCACCCTCTCTGAGCTAGCCGCAGCCGTGGCTCGCGTGTATATGTATCTTTTTCGGGATGCTGTGCGGAGGTCGCGGCCAGCAGCGCATATGCGTGTGGCCGACTCCACGTAGCGCGAGACTAACACCGAGTCTAGTACCGAGCAGTGGGCGGGCGAGGCGGCACGTGCCGAACATTTACATGCATTTGGCTTGAAATACTTTTACGGTATCCGCAATGCCTCTACTTTCCTGGCTGGATCTGGCACGGCAACGGTGGCGCAGGTACCCTCCCCCCTTTCCCTTCCCTCCCCTACCTCACTGCAATCCAAATTATTCTCAGCGTTGTCTGGAGTTTTGGAGGCCTGGAGAAGCGGAGGAAGGGGGAAAGTGGAAAGGCTGAAGGGAAATGGGGGTAAAGGTACGGTGGCAGGAAGGTCGAAGCTAGCGGGAGCAGCAGTACGTAGCAGGTTGGAGAGCGGAGGCGGGGGAGCGAGTGAAGGAGAGGGGAGAGGGGCGGGGGTGTTGGGCGCAGCAAAGAGTGAAAAGGTGGGGTGGGGGCTAGCAACGAGACGGGAGCTTACACCATGGCAAAGGGATTAGCGCCCGTAGCGGCTATACAGCGGGGCGTCGCGGCAGCGAGCGGCGCGAGCTGTTGTGCCAAAGAGCATCAGTCTGTTCTCTGTTGTAGGGGGGAGTTGATGGGAAAAGAAGGTTGGGGGCGGTAGGGTTGGAGAAGGGGGTTGGGGTGGGGGTAGGAAGCGGAAGGGCAGGAAATGGGCGCGGGCGTAGAGGGAAGCCCCGGCGAGCGCGGTGGCGACGGCAACTCGGCGCCAGCGCGTCAGCTCGAGCGTCAGCCTGCCGGGTAGGCCGAGCCGCCCGACACGGCCGTGCACAGCGCCCGCCGACTGCCTATCGGCCAGGCGGCCCGGCTGGCCCGAGCGGGCCGGGGGAGGGGAGGAAAGGCTTCATGGCGTCAGGAGACGGGTCGGGACGACGGCGGCGTCACAGCGAGGACGCCGTCGAGGACGCCCTCCGCGAGCTAACGAGGCGGCGGGCGAGGCTCCATGCGGCAGGCAGCGGGCCGCCGCGCGGATGTGGCCGTGAGCTGTAGGCTGTAGGTCGCGAAGCACGAAGTGCACCTTCCTTGAGGATGTTGTTATTGTTTATTTGTTGTTTGTTTTGGCCGTCGTGGAAGCCGCCGCCGCAGCTATCGATTTTAATACGGCGAGAAAGGAGGAGCGAGTAGTTGTAGACAATCAATCGGTTCTGAATAACCAAAAAACTACCCCCACTCCCCACTCGGCCACACCCCAAAAATCTACAAGTCTGTCTGTCTGTCTGTCTGTCTGTCTGTCTGTCTGTCTGTCTGTCTGTCTGTCTGTCTGTCTGTCTGTCTGTCTGTCTGTCTGTCTGCCACCCTCCCCCCTAAAAAATCCCCTCATATCGGGCACTCTCCACATTCACACAGACTGCTGGACGGCCGCTGGTGGAGTGCGATAAACGCTATCCCCGTTGCCAATACGGCGGTCGCAGGCAGGCAGGCAGGCGTTTAGGTAGAGAATGGGTGGACGAGTGGCCAGAAGGGGAGGGGGGGTGGTTGGTCGCTACGGCCGACCGGGGTAGAATAAAATAAAAAGAGGGAACCACCAGTGTCGCC